TCAATAACTGTGTAGACTGTAGACTACAGTCAGACATGTTTTTTTAGATATGAAAAAGTCAGAGGTTATTATTGTCTTGATCACTTTTTTTTTTTAGTAATACAGGATGTCCCGAACATCTCAGTACAGTTTTAAGATTTAATAATGTTTTAAAAGCTTTAAGTTTAAAAACTGCACTGATATTTGGGATACCTTGTAATGCCCAAGATTTTTTATGTCTTTTATATTGTCCTCTCAGCTTGTGAAATGATCTCTCAACATCATTTAAATTGTGTTCCTTTCAGCATGAATCATTTCTGCTTGATCCGTATGAACTATCTTAATTTTATTTAGTGACATTTCTATATCTTTCTATAGTGCACTGGGGACTGTTATGTTAGAGTCTAAAATGTGGTGATTGCACTGTCATGAATAAAAAAAAAACAGTTTGTTGAAAAACAGTTTGTTGTAGCAACCTTCACAGATCTTTTCCTTTTCTGCCTGCTTGTCATATTCCCAATTTTATCTTTAAATGTTCTCAGGATGATTTGGCTTAAGTTGGATGTCGTGCCAAACTTGTTTTTCTATTCATTATTCTTTATTTTTTTTTTAAATGAGATAACACTGCTCATAATCTTCCAATATCAACTTCTGAAATATTTTTTAAATGAGTTTCTCATACAAACTAGTGATGCTCTTGGTTGCCATAACTTTCTTCTTACCAAGGAGACCATGTTTGCTAGCTAAAGAAGTTTCTAATTATTTTTTATTTCCTCAATGTAGTTTGCTGACTTGCATTTCTTAAACTGCCTTGGGAAGTAGAGATAGCCTGTGTCAATGTCTGTTCCCTTATCTACTTCCCCATTTTCAGCCACTTAAACAGGGCAGATTGCTATTAACTCAATTGCAAGCCACATCATTTTATTTTTATTTTTTTCATTTAGCATTGATTTAAATCTCTGTTCTAACTGTTGATGCTCTGATTCTACACATTTGACTTATCCAGAATGTCAAACAATCATTTCCTATCTATTAGCATAACAACAATTTCATTTTGGTGTCATTTTTTTTTTTTAGTGCTTGCTACATTTAGTGCCTCCCAACTATATTCCCAAAGAAATTATTCATGATACATATGTAAGAGGCTTCTGTGTATTTGGCATGCCCTTACTAACTAATTTTTCACTCCTGAACCATGTTTTCCAACATTTTTCTCTTCCCTCCATTATGTCCACTTTTATATTGAAGTAACCAAATATTAAAATTAAAATTGAATTATTTTGGAGGGGCTTATTAAGTTCTCCATAAAATTTCTTTTGCTGTTGTTTAGTTGTTTCATTCATGTATGATTCTTTGTGACTCCATTTGGGGTTTTCTTGGCAAAAATACTAGAATGGTTTGCTAATTCCTTCTTCGGCTTATTTTACAGATGAGGGAAATGAGGCAAACAGGATTAAGTGACTTGTCCAGGGTCATACAGCTAAGTAAGTGTCTAAGGCTGAATTTGAACCCAGGAAGATGAGTCTTCCTGACTCCAGTCCCAGCAATTCTATCCAATGCACCACCTAGCTGCCCCTAGAATTTCATCACTTCTTCATTATCTGTAACAAATGTTGGCATATTAACTGCTATTGGTATTTTTTTTACAAATATTTATGGTTGGTGCCGCAGTATGACATCATAGGATTGTAGGGTCATAAATTTAGAGCTCTAAAGAGCCAAAAATTCCACAAAATAATGATTATTATTGTCTTCCCTGTTGCCATAATAAACCAACTCCTTTATCTTCTTTTCCAAGAGATGTGAACCATTCTTTCATTTAGCTTTGGCTTCCTTTTATTTAATTTGAGTGAATATGTCAATATTGGTATAAATCAATTTCTCCTGTAGTATACTTACTTGTAGGTTGCTGGACAGGGATCTCACATTTAGAACCCCAACAGTTAAACTGTCACTTATTGAGAATCTAAAAACAAGATATGGGGCAAGATACAATGGAAAAAAGACCTTGACTCTGGAGTGAGAGGACCTGGCTTCTGAATCTTCCTCTGACCCTTGCTAGCTAGGTGACCTTGGGCATAACTTGACTGTACCTCGGTTTTCTCATGGCCTCTGAGGGCTTTTCTAGTTCTAGATTTATAATTATCAGTACCTCTACCCAATTTTTACTTCTTTGCCATTGCTACAACAGGAATGGAATGGGGCCAAACAGAACTGAGGGCCATTCTTTTTTCATAAATCGATTGACAAGCATTCATTAAGAGCTTATCATATGGACAAAATGTTCATACTTTCTGCCCAAGAAATTCTACTACTAGGCATATACCCTAAGGAGGTCATTGATAAAAAGAAACTTCCCACATAAAAACTTATAGCAGCATTTTTATGGTAGCAATAAACAGAAAATAAAGAAGATGTCCATCATTTGCAGAGAGGCTAACCAAATTATGGCATGTGAATGTAAGGGAATATTACTGAGCTATAGGCAATGTATGAATGTGATGAATACAGAGAAACATGGAAAGATTTAGATGAACTGATACAGAGTGAAGTAAGCAGAGCCAAAAAAACCCCAATACAGCAATATAAATGAAAAGAACAACCCAAAAATAACTGAAAATGAATATTTTAAAATGACAAAGATGAAGAAGAGCTATGAGAAGATAGAGACAAGAAAACAATACAGCAATATGAATGAAAAAATGACATAAAATAATTGAAAGTGTATGTTGCAAAATTACAAAGATCAAGAAGAGATACCTCCTCTCATTTCTTTGCAGAGATGTGGGGGTGCATATGTTGTCAATTTTTTTTTGATGTATTGATAAGTTTTACTGAATTTTTTCCATCTTCCTCTTTTTTCCCTTATCTTTAAAAAAATCTTTGTTCTATAGTATGGCTCTCTGGGAAAGGGAATAAAAGGGAAATGTGTAAAAGCAAAAGATATCAATAAAATTTATGTTTTTTAAAGTTTGCTATATGCAAGGTACCCTGCTAGGCACTGGGGATACAAAGACAAGATGAAAGAAAGAAAGAAAGAAAGAAAGAAAGAAAGAAAGAAAGAAAGAAAGAAAGAAAGAAAGAAAGAAAGAAAGAAAGAAAGAAAGAAAGAAAGAAAGAAAGAAAGAAAGAAAGAAAGAAAGAAAGAAAGAAAGAAAGAAAGAAAGAAAGAAAGAAAGAAAGAAAGAAAGAAAGAAATGGAAGGAAGGAAAAAACAGAATCTGTTCTCTGTTCTCCAGGAACTTATATTCTACTTGGGAGGGACATGTACCCAGATAAATAAATACAAAATAAACATGATATAAGTTTTTATTGGATGGGTGGATTGTTCATAACTCAGCTAAAGCCTCTTATATATAGTGGCATTTGAGTTGAGCAGTGAGAGAACCTAGAACTTTCTAAAGGTAGAGGTAAAAAGAAAACACATTTCAGGTATGGAGGACAGCCTATGTAAAGACATAAAGAGAGGTTCAGGTGATGGGATGGTTTGGGAAAAAACAGGTAAAAATATAAATAAGTATAAAACATATGAAAAATAAATGCATGGTAATTTAGAGGGAGTAACATCAATGTGGGGGGCAATCAAAAGGGCTTCACACAGGAGAAGGTGGTTGAAATGAACTTTGAAGAATGCTAGGGAAAGGAGGAATTGGTGAAATGAAAATGCTTATCAGGCATGAGGAATCAGCATGTGCAAAGGTTCAGAGATGGAGTTTCACGTACAGAAAACAGCAGGTAAAGCAGTTTGTCTGGAACATGGAAAATGTAAAGGGAAGCCTGGAAAAGTAAGCAGGAGTCAGACTGAGGAGGTGGAGTTGCATCCATCATCGCAGCGGCTGACCCAATGATGATAAAGTTCTCCATCCGTAGCGAGGCTGGTCCACAGAAAACAGACACAGACCATACTCAAGGTCTTTCTAACTTGGTAAGCTCTGCCACAATTCGTAAAGCACGGAGCATGAGTTACGGGAAAATGCTCCCTGGTGGATGAACTAGGTTGGTTGTCTGAGGCTTTCAGGTAGCAGACAATTGGAGGGGGAAGGGCTTCTTGGAAGAGGAGATACAGACTGTTTCCCTCCACCTCCAGAGCTCTTCAGACAGGACAGAAGAACTGTGTGGGCCCCTTTCTCTTGAGGTTATTGAGTAGGCTTTGGAAGGCCCCAGGGAGCTGTGCTCAAAATTCATTTTTACGGTAAAACCAACCACCTGATTATAATACTGCGTCTCCAAGAGGTCAGAAAGACTCCCCTCTTAGAACTTTCTGAAAACTTAGAGTCAACTATATACCATGATAAACATCAGAATAGGACTTTGAGAAAAAAGGCAAAGGCTAGATTGGTTTAAAAAAAGTTTTGGGGAGGCTGGGTCTTTTGGGACATGGGGGCCAGGTGAGGGAGGGGAAAGGCTGATTTAAAAGGGAGGGAGGGATAGAATGTGGAATTCAAAACCTTAAAAAAAACCAAATGTAAAAATTGTTTTAACATGTAATTAGGGAAAAATTTTTTGAAAAATGTTACAACTTAAAAAATAGGCACAACTGAAATCAGAGAAAACCTCTTCTCATTTCATTTGTTGCCTTCCTATGGAAGGAAAAAAACCCCAAAACAAAGTGAGGCATCTTAGCAAATAATTAAACAGCTTAATTGTGGATCAGGCAATTGCGCTTTAACGACTAACTCTGGAATAATGTTCAATGACAATGCTTATCTTTAATTAGTGCAGTTATAGAGAATTCATCCAGGATCTTTTATTCTTAATGCCCTCTCTATGGTAATCAGCATATAGGACAGTCTCTCACCTCCCCATAAGGTGATCTAACTTTCAAGACAGATATTTGGTTGGGGGGGCGGGACGATGGGAAGAAACATTTTTCTCCAATAGAGTTATTTTTAGTGATCAAGACACTTATTAATAAACCTAGCTATAAGGAGAGTGGTTTAACTCCAGTTCTACAACTTGGTTATGGGGAATCAATCTACTAATATGGGGGCCACATAGCCAGCTCCACAGAGGTCAGATACCTGGATCCTCAATGGCGAGATTCTTCATAAACCACTGCACGATGTCGGTACCTGTAACGACAAAGCATTCCCATCTTAGGACTTCAAGATATTTTAACATTTGGGAAGTTTTTAGAGTTCTTGATAGTGAAGAAATATTCTATATGAGAGACTCAGATCAAGGTCCTGCGGTCAAGTGCTCTGTTGGAGAATTAGAGCCTTTCACAGCCAAAGAAAAGTTTTTATTCTGTTTGCATGCTTTTAAGCCACTCCAGTTGTTCTCCAGATACTGTCCAGCTCTGGTGCCCAGTGCAATGACCATCTACCCCCTACAGCATACCCCCTAGATCAAGGGTTCTTAACTGGGGCCCATTAATTTCAATTTTTTAAATTTTATTTTTAATTTGTGGAATAAAACAAGCATTTGTAAAAATATCTTTTTGATAATATATTTCAATATATTTAGTTTCTTTTGTAATCCTATGTAGTTTATTTTAAGCATTTAAAAATGTCATTCTAAGAGGGATCTATTGTCTCCACCAGACTGACAAAGAAAAGTTAAGAACTTCTGCCTTAGATAAAACCTATGTGACTCCTGGGTGTGCCCAAACTTGGGATGACACATATGGTGCTTTATGTGATTTACATACATTATTTCAGCTGTGCCTCAAGACACAAAATCACCCCTTGTAAGGTAGGTGATATTGTTATTCCCATTTTGCAGATGGGAACATGAGGTTCAGAAAGTTTAAGTGACTTCCCCAGGGTTACACAACTTATTATGATCTAGGGTGGGATTTGAACCTTGAATCCAGCATTCTATTGACTTGTTTACTGGGCAAAATTTCATGATGAGAAGTCATGAGGCATATTCCAGAAAACCAGCCCACAGATGTTCTCTCCTACTGCTGAAAAAAAGTATAAAAAGCATATCACGCCTAGGAAAATGTCTCATTTCCCCCTGGTGTTGTGGGCCCTTCTCCTTTGTCCACTTGGAAGCCCTCACTGAAACCAAAGGATGGACTTTTAAAAAGATGAGTCTGGCAGAAAGAAATGAAATGATTGGACTGAATCTAATCTGCGAGAAGTAACTTTTCCGGGCAATTGATTTTTCCTTCTAGCATGGACCTGTGGACCTGCTATTTGTCAATAGTATACCCAGTGGGTAACAAGTATGTTTTGTGCTTTCCCAAGAGGGAAGGAACAGTCGAGGCCTTCTCTCCTTTTGACAGTCATTTTAATCTTCCCTTGATCCTTAAATAAAATTCAGGAGATCCCCTCCATCCATCCTCAATCACAGGTCTGACCACATTAGTCCCTTGCTCAAGAAGGTTCAGAGGTGGACTCTCCATCACCTCTTCACAATCTAGCTCCAACCTAGCTTTCCAGGCTGATTACACATTACTTCTCCTCAAATACTCTATCTGCCAGTCCCACTGGCCTAGTTGCTGTTCCCTGGGGAACGACTTTCCATCTCCAATCTTCTGTGCAGCTTACAAACAGGACACTCTTTCCTTACTGTCATCTCTAGGAATTTTCACCTCCTGGAAATTTCAAGGCCCAACCACTTCCTAAAAGGGGTCTTAGCCAATTCCCCCAGTTGCTCTCCCATCAAAAAATTATAACATTTTTACTTACCTATGTACTTATTTCTCCCATTAGAATATAAGTTCCCTGAGGGCAGTGTCCTTTTCCTTTTCCTTTTCTTTTATATTTTATAGCCTGGTACTGTGCCTGACACACAGTAGACTCTTTTTTACCCCTTAATAATGAACTGATTTTTTTTAACATTTGATTTATTTTTAACTTATGGAATAAAATAAGCATTTATATAACATAATATAATAAAAAAGACAATTGTACACAAAATTGCAAATCAATTATGTACAACTTGCTATTCCTTTTAAATATATAGTAGACTTAATAAATGCTTGTTGAATATGATAGAATCAGGCCTAGTCAAATCAATACGGTTTAGTTAGCACCTACTCTAGGTCAGGGACTATGCTAAGCATTTTTTTACTGTTTAGTCATTTTATTCACGTTTGACTCTTTGTGACCCTATGTGGAGGTTTTTGGCAAAGATGTGGGAGTGGTTTCCCATTTCCTTCTCCAGCTCATTTTACAGATGAGGACACTGAGGCAAACAGGGTTAAATGACTTGCCTAGGGTCACACAGCTAGGAAGTGTCTGAGGCCAGATTTGAACTCAGGAAGATGAGTCTTCCTGACTTCAGGCCCAGCACTCTATCCACTGAGCCACCTCGATGCCCCATGCTAAGCACATGGGATGCTTCTTACTGCTTTTGTTATTTATTCTTCCTTCTAGAAGAGGACCAATCGCCAGAGTGATGTCTTGACTTACAAAGAAGGGCAAAAACCAATTCTCAAGGAGCTCCCCATTTACTGGGGGAGACAACATGTAATCACCGCCTAATTTTGAATATCCTCCTTCTGAAATTCTTTCCTCACCCATGTTGCATGACAGTATTTCTAAACTACACATCTGAAGCCATGTCTCCATGTTTATTCTCCTCTGTGGAGTTTCTATGCCTACTTCCTCAAACCATACAAGTTCAACTGTTGTTCCAAGAAACAAAGGAAAAAAGGCAGAAAATAAAGTGAAATTTTTCATCCTGAGACCAGAGGAGGGAAGTCTAACCTGTTTATTTCAGAAAAAAAAGAAAAATAGTTCCTTCTTCGGTGTTGCCTAGGAACTGGAAGGTTTACAACAGGGCTCCAGCTTTCCCCAGGGCAAGAGGATTATCTTTCTGCTGAGTTCGCTGAACCATTATTTATCACCTGCCAAGATTGATTACTCACCCCGGGACAATGACAGGCCTTCCTTTCCCCTGTTAATTACTATCATCATTAATATCCATGTCACTAATTAGTATTCATTCACATTGAAAATTCCTTCCCTGCTCTCCTATCAGCACTCCCCTAGGCCCCCCCCCCGAACCCAACTTCACGTTTTAATACTATCTTCTACTTTTTAATCACCACCCCGCCCACTCTTCCTCACACACTTGTTGCCTTTCCTCTAATCTCCTCTCAAATGGTCCCAGGGCTTCTGCATAAGCTACACAAAAAGAATTACTATTAGGATATTCATCCAGGAAACCTTTCCCTTCTTCCTATTTCTCCCAATATCTGCCTTCTCCTTCCTGATGTTGCCACATTCTGCGAGGGAGGCAGAGCTCTCTCATCTAGAGACTCTGATGACTTGAGCCCAGATGGCCTTAAGGTTATCCCTTTGCTTGGACTCTGGTAAATTGAGATTAGCCACTAATTTACTTTGGGGTTCTCATATCTGTGCATTCAGATTTAATCGAACTAACTCATTTGGAGGAGACCAACAGGAGAAACTTAGAGTTAAAAAGAAAAACACCCTGGAAAACACTGAACCAATCTAATTTTCAATTCAGTAAACATCTACTCTGTGTCAGGCATTGTGCTAAGTACTGAAGATACAAAAAGAAGCTAAAGACAGTTCTTGCCATCTGGGAGCGACAACATGCAAATAAATACATACAAAGCAAGCTACATATACGGGATAAATTGGAAATAATTAACAGAAGGAAGGCACTGGAATTAAGATGAGTAGAGGAAGGCTTTTTCTATGAGGTGAGATTTTAGTTAGGACTCAAGGGAAGCCAGGGAGGTTAGTAGTTGAAGTGGAAGAGGGAGAGTATTCCAGGCATAAGGGAAAGACAGAGGGAATGCCTGGAGCTGAGAGATGTGAGCCAGGAGGCCAGTATCACTGGATCCAAGAGTATGTGTGTCTGTGTGGGGTGGGGTAAGGTGTAAGAAATCTGGAAACACAGGAAGGGGCTAGGTTATGAAGGGCTTTGAGCGCCAAACAGAGCACTTTGTATTTGCATGTAGAGGCAAGAAGAAGCTGCTAGAGTTTATTGAGTAGGAGGGTGACTTGAAGCACAGAACTATTTGGTGATTGTTGGGCAAACGGCTCTCGTCCATAGAGATGAAAAGTTAGGAAATATGCAGCATCATCACCATAAGTGAGTAGGAAGTCTCCCTGAAGAGACCCAGTCCTGAATCAAGAGAAAGAGAGCCTATGCCTTTCTGCTCTGCCACTTGCTACCCGGGGGGGGGTGAAAACAAATAAACCTCAGAATCCAACTAAAGGATCTGAACTGGATGCGCTCCTGTTACTCCTACACTATAAGAGTTCAAGGCTTCAACTGAGCCTTAAACAGTAAGGAGAAGAGACTACGGCTGAGAATGAATCATCTAGTTTAGAAATGATGCCCAGTACCAGAGTAGAGCTACCCAGCCTGGCAGCAGGCTCAACTACTTAGGGGTAGAAGAAAAGTGGAAGGAAGGGTTAGCACTAAGGAAATGCAGAGGAGACTACCAAAGGTATTTTTCCCCCACTTGATTTTGGAACATCAAGATTTGGTATTCCTTTTCTGGAGACCTTACCCCCAAACCCAATGGGAAAAAATGATGCTGGAGTCAGAGGACATGAGTGTCAAATGTTGTGGGAATCTGGGTGCAATCTGGGACAGACATTACAATTATTTATTGTAGCATTTGTGTATTTCTTAACCATTTAACATGTATAAAGCTATGCTACCATTTTTCTTAGGTTCCTGTTTTTTTAATATGGTTTTCATTGCATAAGACAGATTTTTTAAAAAAAAAATTTCAGGATACTGTACATCACCCCTTAAAAACATTTATTTTGGTCCTCAAAAAATTCTCAAAATAGTACGTTCTTTCTTCAGGACGTTATCTGCTGTTTGTGCTCCATATAGCAAAGACTACTCCAGAATTTTTAGCATATGTGGGGAAAAGTATGGAATACTAGGATTGTTCCAAGGAGCAGCGTATTAGTAGTCTGATGTGTCCAAGGGTTTCTTCAAATCACATAGAAGATTTAACCCTCTAGGGACTTTGCTCAAATGTTACATACTTCTAAAAATTGGCTTTTAGGTAAAGGAGAGCATACCAAAGCAGAAGGGTAGAATAAAATTCTTCCTGGTGAATTCTGGATGACAAAAATTGGGCCCAGAAGATATGTCCCACTGTGGTATTAATTAATTAATT